GAATATGTCACATTTTTAATAGGGTAAATATTTAAACCTATAGATTAGGTAAAGCATATTACTGTCTATGATGAGGGCAGGCTTTATTCATTCAGTGACCATCTTAGTAGTAAAGGATTGACCTCAGCAGAAGGGGGAGGAATTCCACCAGCAGATGACCTTTAGATGGGAACTTGAGCATCAACCTGTTCTGCACCCTGTCCATCAGTCTCTGCTTCTAGCCCTGCCTCTTTCTCTTACACACGCACACCCTATTACATCCGTTTCTCTGGATAAACCAATACAAACCTGTCAGAAGTCTGACAATGGTACAAACGTCATAGGAACCTTATGTAGCAACTGCGATTCTTCTCAGCTGTAGCGTGGAGTGCTGGTTGGTACAACCATTTCTGGATACCTCTTCATTAGCAGCGACTAAAGCTGAGCATGTGAATGTCCTAAGCATTTCCACGCCAGACTAGGAACCCTATGGTGTATGTTTCACAAAAGATGTATTTTCCTATATGCATTTTAATACTAGTCTATCACTAGTGGAATGGATGAAGGAAGACGTACTAATCATGCAATGACAATCACACTGATACAATCTGAGTAAAACAAAATCAAATACAAAGGACAACTGTAACTCATGACATTTGAAATCTGAAGAGGATATGAAGTACTTACTCATTGCCCCATCGATTAATCTGAACAGATACGAATTACAAGTGTACACTGAGTGTCTGAAAACCTGTCCAGCTTTCTGCTGATGCCTTATGCACTGTTCTGCATATATTTAGAATTCAATAACAAGGTTTTGGAAAGTATATTTTTATTACTTTGGGGTTTCCCTTCATATTTTGTAAACCTCATTCCCTTACCATAAAACATCAAAAAGGAAAGCTATGAGTAAAATTAAAACATAAAAAAATTACAGTATGCACTTCACTATATGCTATATGCTGAGTAAATGGAAAATGACATTTGAATCTAAGGGAATTCCTTCTTTTTATGTGTTACTACTCAGTATGCCCTGTTGTGATTTATTCTTATATCCAAGAAAAAGGAGATATTGTGTAACTTTTACTAGGAGATGTAAAGAAACATCATTCTAGACATCTATACAGACAGGGAAAAAAAGAGAGAGTCTATTCAATTTTAGTTTAATGGACCAATGAACTTATTGTGGTACGGATGAGAAGTTATTTACATGAACATCAATGTCTCAGAAACAGATGCTCAATAAAAAAGGTCCACCCCAGGATGAACATTGACTGGGGGAAGCATCATACTTGCTGGCAAGCTGGCTGGTGGGCAGGTCCTCTCCCCAGAAACTGCTAACTACTTATATAACCTTGGGGAAAGGCTTTAGGAAGCCTTCGACTTTCAGAAGCTTCAGCTTTATGTACTTCTGGAGACTTGTAGGTTTCTTTTACTTCCTGAGCCTTACAGAGTCTACCTCTATGAAGGAAAGTTTCAGTTTTGAGGCGATAACTGTGCAGCAGAGGCTCAGGGAAGGAAAATGGTTGGCTGGAAAAAGCCTAACTGGCCAACAGCTAACCAGGTCTAACTTCAGCTGTGAGGTCTGTGTTCTCTCTGAAGAGTATCTCTCCAGGCCTAGGGCCCTAACCTTTGGCAGCAAAGGGTTGTCTTCTCCCCCAAGCCTTCCAACTGTATCTGATTAACTCTCCAAACTGATCCAGTGTTAGGGCCTCACACTGAAATTCTCCACACAACCGGCCATGAGGCTGACCTAGTTCCAATCTCTCATCTTCTTCTTGGTTTAGCTCATTTCCTCAGAGGCATTTTCCCCGTCATTTGAGGTATGTTTGAGACAAAATATGTTTGAGGTAGTGCGAGACAAAAACAGGAAAAATATATCTTGCAGGTTAAGAGCTCTTTTACAGTTAAGAATAATTTCCCGTCTGTCCTATGTTTGTTTGACCCATCTACACCTGATGTGCTTGATCACACGAGGGTGGGGGTAATGCGGGCAGGAAATAGATCAGGATATATGCTTGCCCCTGAGTGGACCTGATGGGAAATCTCATTGCTCTATGGTTTTGATTTTAACCCCCTGGAAAGCATGACTTGTGGCCATTTCCTGGGAATCCAGGAGAGGTCCTGGCCAGGGTCCATCTTCCCATCCAGTACTTAATCAAAGCTTGCTTCAAATTTGGATTAAGCTTGTAGTAGTGGTCTTATTCTCAACCAGTGGGATGAACAATAGCAAGAAAGGGATCACTATTCCAATTGACATGTCTAGACAAGGCAAAATTTACTCACAATTAAGGTGTACTAGGAAGAGAGACTACACTGAAACAGGAAGTTTCCTTGGTTTTTATTCGAACTTAGGTGGTGTCTGTGTCTTCTTCATTGACTGGGGTCTGACCTCACAATCTTATTCAATTGGCTAGTCCAAAAAGAATTGGTTTATAAACTGGGCAGTGGTGGTGCATGCCTTTAATCCCAGTGTTCTGGAGGCAGAAGCAGGTGGATCTCTGAGTTCAAGGCCAGCCTGGTCTAGAGTGAGTTCCAAGATAGCCAGGGCTACACCGAGAAACCCTGTCTTGGAAAAAAACAAACAAAAAAGAATCGGGGATGGAAATTGAAGAAACCATCCGGAATGAGGTAACCCAGTCACAAAAAGAAGAACATGTATGTACTCACTCATATATGGATTTTAGACATAGAGCAAATGATCACCAGCCTATAATTCACACCACCAGAGAAACTAGGATACAAGGAGGATTCATACAAGGTCCCTCACAAAAAGGGAAAGGGACAAGATCTCCTGAGCATATTGGGAGTGGGGGGGCAGTGAGTGGAGAGGGGGCTAGGAGAAAGAGAAGGGGAAGAGAGGAGAGCATGTGGGACTAGGAAGATTGAGTCATGGGAGGAATAGATGAGAGAGAGAGAGAGAGAGAGAGAGAGAGAGAGAGAGAGAGAGACCATAAAAGAGGGAGCCATTGTAGGTTTGAAGATAAAACTGAACCTAAAGAAATGTCCAGAGATCTACAAGACTGACCCCAACTAACAATTTGAACAACAGTGGAAAGGCTACCATAAATGCCCTTCCCTGATAATGAGATCGACAACTAACTTATCCACCATCATGGAAACACAAGCAGACATCCACAGCTAAACACTGAGCCAAACTGGAATCCAGATACAGAGAGAGAAGACAAGACCAGGCTACAGAAACCCACAGAGACAGCTGACCTGAACAAGGAGGAGCTAATGGGCCCCCAGACTGATAGCTGGGAATCCAGCATGGGACTGACTCAGTCACCCTGAACATGGGCAGTCTAAGGGACCTCAGACAGTGGAAACAGGATGTATCCCTGGTGCACAAAAGGACTTTGGGTGCACATTCCCCATGGAGGGATACTCCCTTAGCCTAGAGACGGGAGGGAGGGCCTAGTCCCTACTCCAAATGATGTGACAGATTTAGATGACCCCTCCAGGAAGGCATCACCCTACATGTGGAGGGGGGGTGGAAGGATGGAAGAGAGGGAGGGAGAGAGAGACGGAGAGGGAACTGGAATGGATATGTAAAACAAAAAAAAAAATAAATAATAAATAAATAAAAAAGGAAAAACAAAGAATTAGCTTATAGGAAATGGAGGAGGAAGGTGAGAGTGGTCACTGCTCCACAGAAAAAAGGTCCAGCCTGTAGGGAAAAGGGGCCAGCCAAAGAAACCCACCCTGAGCAGAGCCAAAGAAACACACGTTGGCCCTAGAACCAGAGCCAGTAAAAGAAATACACCCTGGCCTTCAAATTAGAGCAAAAAAGATAAAAAGGACCAGTGAAAGAAACACATTCGGCCCTGAAACCACAGCCAAATCTGACCCTGAGCCTGAGCAGAAAACCAACAAATTCCAGAGCTCGAGATCTAGCCAATGTGAGCTCAAGGATGGAAATACGACCAATCGTCACTCTGGAAATCTCCTTGGAAAAACTCTGCCCCTAAAAATCCCTATATAAGCCTTGTGCCTGTAAGGCTGTCTAGCTGTCCTCTTCCACCCTGCCAGAGGCAGCCACTGTCCTAGAGTCTTCCCTCCCAATAAATCTCTTGAATAAGGTTTGGGTGAGATCTTACTGCTCCCTAATGGAGTAGAGGGGAGAAGTAACAACTTTTCAGGGGAGCCAGAGCAGAGAGGAGTGGAGAAGGGCTGTAACACTTTGGCTGGGTAAGCAAAGCTGAGTTGTTACACTCCCAAGTAAGCAGACCTGTTACACTGGGGAAGCCTTCCCCTGGAGAGGGCTGTAAACTGCCAAGCTTACTGTGACCTATGGCATTCCTTGGCTCCCAAGTGCCAGAATACCTTTCCATCTGAGCTGCAATGCTTAAGCAGGCCATCAAATTTCTAGAGTAGAGCTATTGACCTTTATGTAAATCAAAGTTTTCCTGGGTGGAGAGGGTTAACACATTGCATAGAAGTCTTACACGGTGGGGGAGATAAAAATATTTTAATTATTTGTCCTAAGCACGTTTTACAGTATTTGATAGGAAAGGCCATGTTTGATATTTCTTACATCCCAGCCACAAATCTTTCTAGCGGGGCATCTTCCCCGCTAAGGACCTTCCTGTTTCACCTTCATTACGGCTTTTCTTGCCTCCCAAATTCTGACAGAGGGGTCCTCCCTAGGCTCCTGTCTTCTGTTTGCTGCCTAGAGTCTCTCGTCTCCTTACTTTCTTCCTCACCTCATCCCCAGACTCCCAGCTACACAGTGGATCACTCCTCAACTTCCCACCCCAGTACCCAGGCTCCCAGAGAGTTCTAGACTCCAGTCGCCCGGCCCCGCCCCCATGCCTTCGCTAGAGGGTGGGCCTCTAGGAAGCCCCGCCCACTCCCCGCATTGGCCCAGCCCCCAGCACTTCTCCCCTCCCCCACCCGCACGCTGCACGTGGTCCACCCCCCCCACACACACACACACACGCGCGCACACACGCACAGTGGTCCTGCTCAGGTCAGAGCTGAGGTGCCCTAGGTCGCCGGCCTGACACGACGCTGAGATGGTGCCTGCAGGCAGCCGCCAGCGGCAGGATAGGCCTGGCTTGGTCTACGTGACCCGCTTCGCCTCGCACCCGTGCGGCGTGTGGCAGTTGAGGGGTCCCCGAGGTCTCCGCCACCAAGGCCCAGGGCTCGGGGCCCGCTTCGCCGCGGAGCAAGCGACCCCGAAGAGCCAGTCTCCGGGAGGACAGCTGCCCACCGGCTCCCACGCACGGGTCGCCGCCACCCCGGGCTACTCCATCGCTCTCCAGCTGCGGAGGTCGAGAGCGCCAAGCGGTCCCGAGCAAGCGGCGCGAGCAGGTGGAGGGATGCTCCTGTCCCAGGGCTGGTGCTGAGGGCAGCTGCTGCTGCCATCTTGTGGACGGCCTTCAGTCAGCCTGGCCTCGTGTCAGCCTTCCTGCTATCCCTGTTAGCTTTCCTGTCAGCCCTCCCGTCAGTCCTCACACAGCATTTCAGCCAGTAGGCAGCTAGGCTCCGCCCTCCGGTCACTCTAGGAGGACCCCTCTAACTTACTTAATAGGTGACCCGAGAGAGGGCTGCAACACATTTAAGATAACCCAGATACCTGAGAGAAGTTCCTGGATGTAGCTACTTAAGTCCCTCGGATAAATGGGAGTTGGGCATTCTTGTTGGTTAATCTCACTGAAATTTATTGGAATCGTTAATTACATGAGCTGGAGAGGTGGCTCAATAGGTTAGGAGCACTGGCTTCTCTTCCAGGTAGCAACTTATAGCTAACTCCAGTTCCAGGGGATCTGATGCCCTCTTCTGGCCTCCTTGGGCATCGGTGCACAAACAAAACACCAATACACACAGAAAAATAAAAAATAAATTACCAGTTATTTGATTGTGTGTGTGTGTGTGTGTGTGTGTGTGTGTGTGTGTGTGTAGAACAGACAGAGATGTTGACTCGTTCTTTTAAAACGCAGAAGATGTAATTCTATTTGATCAATCAACTTTTGAACCTTTCAGGATTTTTTTGTTGTTGTTGTTAAGATTTATTTAGCCAGGCAGTGGCACACTCCTTTAATTCCAGCACCAGGGAGGCAGAAACAGTCAGATCTCTGAGTTCAAGACCAGCCTGGTCTACAGAACTAGTTCCAGGACAGCTAGGGCTGTTACACAGAGAAACCATGTCTGAAAAGAAAAGAAAATATTTATTTACTCATTAAGTATACATTGTTCTGTCTGCATGTATGTCTACACACTGTAAGAGAGTACCAGAACTAATTACAGATGGTTATGAGCTACCATGTGGTTGCTAGGACTTCAACTCAGGTCCTCTGGAAGAGCTGACAGTGCTCTTAACCGCTGAGCCATCTCTCCAGTCCCTTAGGGATGTTTTAAATAAATAATTATTTTTAAAAAATGTTTTCACATGGTGCCTCACATTTTTTTAATCCAAGAATTAAGGAGGCTGGGACAGTTTGAAATCAGCCTGGGCTAAATAGAGCATTTCAGAACAGCCAGGGCCACACAGAGAAATCCTGTTTGAAACAAAAATATTCATTATAGATCTTGCATGAATCTAGGTAAGTTTATTTCCTGGTATTTAATCTTTCCAATTGTAAGTGGGGCTCCTTACTACATAATGCATTAGAAATCTATGTGAAGTCTATCATCTAGAATCTTTAGCAAATATTAGTTTATGTGCGTTTTGAAGATGTTTGCAAAATTATATACTTCATACTTCATAGCCAAGATCTAGAACATCGTGGTCATCTCAACAAAGCTCATCTTTGAGGGGTCAGCCTTACACCTATACTTGGGTTTTTTGTTTTGTTTTGTTTTGTTTTGTTTTTTTGGTTGGTTGGTTGGTTGATTGGTTGTTTTTTGTTTTGGATTTTTTTGGGTGGGGGAGGGTTGGCTTTTGGTTTTTCCAGACAGCATTTCTCTGTGTAACAGCCCTGGCTGTCCTGGAATTAGATTTGTCAAGGCTGGCCTCAAATTCACAGAGATCTGTTTACCTCTGCCTCCTGAGCGCTGAAATTAAAAAACATGTCACCTCCCAGCATACCTACATTTTTAAAAGCAACTTTCTTGAGATTTCATTAACAATGTATACAATTCACCCATTTATGGTACACAAGTTAATGAGTCCTACATATCTAGAACCATCACTACCATCCATTTTAGCATACTTGTTATATCACAGAGAAACTCTGTAGCCCTTAGCAGTCATTATATCCCACCACCATAGCCTCCACTACCCACTAATCTTAGCCCTAAGCAAGTACTAATCTATACTATCTCCACAGATTTACTTATTTTGGTCATATCTAATGGAATATTTATAGGTGGGCTTTTCTGACTGACTTCCTATTCAATATTGCTTGTTAATTTTAGATCCTACTAATTCACTGACCACTTTTATTATTATAGTTAGTTCCATCACTGATTCTCATATATTTTCTAGCTATATATTACTTGTAAAATTATTTTTGAAGACAGGGTCTTACTATGTATCTTCAGCTTGTCTGGAACTCACTATGTATCTTTTGCTGGCCTTGAACTCACAGAGATCTTACCTGCCTCTGCCTCCCACGTGCTGAAATTAAAGGTGTGCACCACCATTGCCCAGCTGGTATAAGTCATTTGTAAATAGAGATATCTTATTTCTCTTTTATTCATTCTTAAGTCTACCATATTTTTTGTCTAATTGTACTGGCTAATACCTGTAGTGCAGGGTGAATAGTTGTAGAGATAATGGGCACCTTAACTTGTTTTATTCTTAGGAGAAATGCCTCCAGTGTTTCTCCATTAAATAAAGTACTGGTTTTAGGACTAAGACTGTATATTTAGCATATGAAAAAGTATACCTGCTTTTATTATATTTAGTATATTTATTATGAATAGGCTTTACATTTTGACAAGGGCTTACTATGATCTATGGAGATAATGTTTTTTCTTAGAATTAGTAATGTGTAGTATGATATATATAAATAGATTTCCAAATAGTGAATCAGCGTTACAGTGTTGAAGTAAATTTCACTTTCTTGTGTTTTATTATTTTTTCATATAGTGGCAGGCTCTAATAATAAGCTTAGAAGTTTTCACTGTTGTTCATGAGATATAATGGCCTGTATTTCTTCTTTGCATTTCTTAATTTAGATATCAGAGTTATACATACTTCATACAAGTAATTGGGAATCTTCCCTTCCTTTTCTATGTCCTGGAATAGTTTATGGAACATTGAAACTACATAGTCTTGATAAAATTTTCTGTAAAACCATCTGGGCCTCAGGTTTTATGGGACAACTTCATAATAATTTTCTCTATGCCATGGAAACTAGTCTGTTTACAGTTTCTGACTCTGAGACATCAGTTTGGGGGAACATGTATTTCCTTAAGCAATTATATACTTTGTCTAGGTTTCTACATACATTTCTACTGAGGCCTGCAAACTAATGTGTTTTAAGTTCACCCAGCTTTGATGGCCATTCCTCCCTTAATTGCCCCCTGCCACCCTCCCTTCCCATCCCTCCCACTCCACATGTAGGGTGATGCCTTCCTGGAGGGGTCATCTAAATCTGTCAAGTCATTTGGAGTAGGGACAAGGACTTCTCTCCTGTCTCTAGGTTAAGGGAGTATCCCTGCATGAGGGATGTGCCCCCAAAGTCCTTTTGTGCACCAGGAATACATCCTGGTTCCACTGTCTGAGGTCCCTTAGACTGCTCAGTCCTTCTAGCTGAGACCCATGTTCAGGGTGACTGAGTCAGTCCCATGCTGGATTCCCAGCTATCAGTCTGGGGACCCATTAGCTCCTCCTTGTTCAGGTCAACTGTCTCTATGTGTTTCTGCAGCCTGGTCTTATCCTCCCTCTCTGCATCTGGATTCCAGTTCGGCTCAGTGTTTAGTTGTGGGTGTTTGCTTCTGTTTCCATCAGCTACTAGATGAGGGCTCCATGATGGTGGATAAGTTAGTTGTCGATCTCATTATCAGGGAAGGGCATTTATGGTAGCCTTTCCACTGTTGCTCAGATTGTTAGTTGGGGTCAGTCTTGTAGATCTCTGGACATTTCTCTAGGTTCAGTTTCTTCTTCAAACCTACAATGGCTCCCTCTTTTATGCTCTCTCTCTCTCTCTCTCTCTCTCTCTCTCTCTCTCTCTCTCTCTCTCTCTCTCTCTCTCTCTCTCTCCTCTTGTCTATTCCTCCCCTGACTCAATCTTCCTAGTCCCACGTGCTTTCCTCTCCTCCCCTTCTCTTTCTCCTAGTTCCCTCTCCACTCGCTGCACACACACACACACACACACACACACACACACACACACACACACACACACACACGCCACTCCCCATATGCTCAGGAGATCTTGTCCCTTTCCTCTTCTGTGAGAGACCTTGTATGAATCTCTTAGAATCCTTCTTGTATCCTAGTTCCTCTGGCGGTGTGAATTATAGGCTGGTGATCCTTTGCTCTATGTCTAAAATCCATATACCAGTGAGTACATACCATGTTTATTTTGTTTATTTTTAAAAACAAGATTTTGATTTATTAAGCATTTTTTCTTGTTTCTTCCTCATAAATACCAACTTCTTAACTTTATTTTCTTTCTTTTTGCTTCCTATTTGTGTACGTTTTATACTAAAATTTGGGTATTAATTTTTATTTTTTAATAGTTTAAAAATACACTTCAATTTTTCTTGTAGATATATATTGTATATTGAACATAACCCAGTTTTCTTCTGTCCTCCCTTCTTTCAACCCTTCGTTTACTCCCTTAGACAATTTTACTTATTTCCATTTAATTTATACACATGATTTTATGTGACTATATGAAATCTAGGAATGCCAAGTAAGAAAAAGCATGTAATATTTGTCTTTCTGAGACTAGCCTAATTTGTTTAATACATTTTTCTCAAAACAACATAACTTAATTCTTCTTTATGGGTTAAAAAAAAATCTGTTGTTGGAGACCAAGGTTTTTTCCATAACAGCTGTTATGAATACCTTTGCATAAACATTGGTGTTCATGTGTCTCTGTGTTATTTTGGGTCTTTTGGGTAAATACTCAGGAGTGGTATAGCTCGGCTATATGATAGATCCATTTTTTAATTTTTTGAGGCACCTCCATAATGATTTCTATAGAATTTGGACTAGTTTATTCCCACCAGACCTTTATAAGGATCAAGATTCCTATTGTCCACATCTATTATTGTTTTCCTCTTAAAATTTTGTTAAATTTATCCATCCATCCATCCATTGCATGTGTGTGTCAGTCATCATATGTGTGCATTAGGAAACAGCTTGTGGGAGTCGGTTTTCTCCTGCCATGTGGGCCTGAGGGAGCAAACTCAGTTTGTGAGGTTTGGCAGCAAACTTTGCCAACCATGTTGCTTTCTTAATGATTGACATTCATACTAAGGTAATATGTAATGTCAATGTGATTTTAATTGGAATTTCTTTAATGCTGGAAAGGTTAAACAGTTTTTCTTATGTTTATTGATGATTTTTATTTCCTCCTTTCTGAATTGTCTTTTCCTTTCACTATTTCATTTGTGGCGGGTGGGGGGGAGGTTGTTTTCTTATTGGTCAGTTTTTTTTTTTCTTTCTTTCTTTTCTTTTCTTTTTTTTTTTTTTTTTTTTTTTTTTGTTTGCTTCGTTTTGTTTTGTTTTAGCTCTTCATGTATTCTGCTTACTAATCCTCTCAGATGTGTAGCTGACAAAGATTTCCTCAACTGCTGTCTTTGTTACACAAAAGATTTTTCTTTTTGTGAGATCCTATTTGTTGGTTATTAACTTTATTTTTTTGGCAACTGGGGTCCTATTTAAAAAGTCCTTTCCTTTACCTACATCTTGAAGTATCTTCTCTACTTTTTCCTGTTTGGAGTTAATCTTTTGTGTAGGGTAAGAAATAGGGACTAGCTTCTTTCTTCTGTATTTGGGCGCCTCATTTTCCCAGCACCATTTGTGGGTAAGTCTGTCTTTTCTTCAATATTATTTTTTCCATCTTTCTCAAAAGTCAGTGACTAGCTGTGTCGGTCTCTAGCTGGATTTACTGTTCTGTTGTGTCATTTTATATGTGTTTAGGACCATGGCACTTTGTCAGGTGACTCAGCATTAGTTATGTTGATAGCATCAGCATTATTCTTTTTGGTTCAAGATTGCTTTGCCTCTTCTGGATACTTTGTGCTTTCAAATGAGTTTTAATATTGCTGTTTTCTACTTCTATGTAGAATACCACTGGAATTTTTTATATAGATTGAAAATCAGGCCTTTCATTTATTTTTTAAAACCAGGAAGTATTTTGTATGGTGAATTTGTTTTAACCACTTTTAGTACCACCCACACATCTCCATATGTAACATTTTCACCATTGATTTTTAAAACATTCTATAATTTCATTCTGCTTAGTCATGCCACACTGATACTGCTTAACATATTTTAAAGGTTTTAAATCCTGGGACCTTGCTATTTTTTTTTTTTTTGGTTTTGTTAGTGCTTTCTAGTTTTATTGATGGTGATCAGAGAATGGTATTCCTTGTGTCTCTACTGTCTACGTGTTACTGGCGTTTCCTTTGTAACTCAGTTTGTACCTCTCCCTCTCCTCTCTTCCAGAAGCCATGCCAGAAAGACTTTCCTCAGAACCCTGGTTTCCCCTTTCACCTGTGTCTGTCCCACCCAGCTTCTTCTTGGTACACTGTATGGGATTTGGTCCTTTAGATTACATACTTAAATATCTTTCCTCCACTCCATGTTCTGTTCTGCTTGTTATCTATTTATTTATTTCATATTTTCAGATAGAGGATGGATTTAATTTGGCTTTGTTGCTGATAAGAGGCTAGAAAACAGCTTCAAGGCAGTTGTAGTAGTCCAGCAGAAATTGAAAGGCCAGAATTAAAGCTGTAGGGGTAAATGGACAGACTGATAACTAACTGGAAGGGAAAGGAAGAGTTGAGGCTGTGGCCTCTGTGTGGATGGCAAAGCTATTAACTTCCATGACCTCCTTGCTGAGCTTGTAAAACCAGGAATGCATTCAAGAGAAGGGTGCCCTGAGACAGACATGCACCAGAGCTAAGCAAAGAGTGTAAAGTACTTAGGTTTACTCAGTCTTGGTTATATTTTATATTAAATAAACATTTATTAGGTGTCTATGGGAAACAAAAATGAATTATTCGTCCATCTCACAATGTTTAGCATCTACCATATTGTAAACATTAGATCAAATACTAATGACAAATACTAATGACAAAATGAATCAGGTGACTATTCTGTAGCCAAAGGACTCACATGTGAATAATAAGTATATAAGTCAATAGGTGTGAGTACTATAGGAAAGAGACCTGATAAGACTTTGATAATCAAGTTCAGGGACAGAATGTAGCACAAGACAGAAAGTCAAGAGGACAAAAATGGAGAAATTTCTGGTGGGACAGTAGAGATTATCAAGAGCTCTGGCTTTGAAGTCAGAAAGACAACCACAGGCTCTGTTAATTACTGGAAATATAATATTGCCCATTTTAGCTATCCAGTCTGATTCTTTAATTTATCACCTTTCAAGTGTGGCTAATGGTTTCCGCCTTAAGAGGCTGCTGTGACGATTAACAGAAGCAGCGTGTGCACAGCGCCTAATGTGGTGTTTGGGGTGGAATAAGCACCCAGTAAGTGTTAGCACAGTGAGCCCAGATGGCTTGAAGGAACAAGAATGACTAACAAAATGTACTAGACATTTACTGAATGAATGAAAAACAAGTTTTTGATTAAATTGTAGCGTGATTTTCATTTCTATAACCCCTAAGGATGTTTAATTGGTGGGATGATGTCACCAGGCACAGGTGTCTTGGGAAAGTCAGACTGGTAAGCCATCCTCCGATGTGCTGGTGTTTAGAAAGCCAAGGGCTATGCAGCAGACCAAGCTAACATCTCAGCCTAATAGGTCAGGCTGGTTCCCTTTCACTGTGCTTGGGAGATAGTCATGTGTTATAAGTAACTAAGGATGAGGAATACTACTGTGAAGGAGTACAGATGGATACTTTGGAAATGGTAATAATTTGAGGATAACAGAGTCTAGGAAAGCATCAAAGTAGAGAAAGCTATTTGAGATTTTCACATGAGGCTGAGATATGGACAATTTACAGGTGGAGAAATGTTTGTGCAGATTGTTGAGGGTGGATGATGATTGCCAGTGACCAGGGAAGAGCTACAAGTACAGCTTGATAGGGTTAGAGCATGGGCAACAAGAAGCAGAAGAAGGTCGGAAGTGGGGACTAAACCCATGGTGTAGCATACACTGGGGCCCAGTCTCAGTACAGGGAGCGAGGGAAGATATGTTTTCCTTGTGCACATGTGTTACACTTCTTGATGTATTTCCAGACAGACTTCATGGCCCCTATCTTACCTTAAGGGGTGTAGGAGCAGATTAGGTGAGACTTGTAAGCAGGAAACACTGGGAACGGTGAAAGCACGCCATCATGTTCAAAGGGGAACATAAATATGAGCAGAGCTTCTCAAACTTGAGTTTGTATGCCATATCTGCATGTGTGTGCTAGTTTACTCAGTGTATTTATTTAAGTAGGTAATTTTCTTCTCTTAGCTAAATTTCATTAGAACAGTATTCATGTGTGTTCACTAAGAAGAGAAAATACAAGTTAATAATGGCAAAACAATATTGTTCAATTGTAGTAAATAGGCTTCATGGTAGAAAGTATCTGTCATAAAGGAAAAGCAGCAAGTCTTGAAGATCTCTAAATGACAAGTTGACAAACTTGGACTTCCTCCTTTACTGGAAGATGGGAAGAACTGGCAAGGGAATGCGTTTCTCACAATGTGACTTAGTTAAGATCCATCATCCCGTGCCTGTGCCACACTCAGAATTAGTGGCATGTGCCTCACAAATTAGTAAATGCCACTTGGGAACACATTTTAGTTCATTCAACAAATGTAATGTATTATGTACCTAGTAGCCACAAAATAGAAACTGGATTTCCAGAGAGGAAAAGACACTTTTCAAGCAAACTGTGAAGTTCTATGACAACCCAGAGTGGTTTGTAAGATCCAAGAATGTTCCCTGGAAAGCTAATTGTTGAATGTGCAAAGGAAATTCAGGTAGTATGTTACGAATGAAGTGGGAGAGTTAAGGTAGATGTGCCAAAGGCAAAGGGAAAGCAGACAGAAAGGGCTCCAAGGAGCATATACTTATTGTTGTTTTCAACAAGTAGTGTCACTTAGTGATCAGAAATATACTACCAAGCATAAACATCCCCCAAAGAGAGCTTATGAGACATACTATGGCCTCTGTTTTCAGGATAGTACTTTTTAAAATACGTACTAACTTTGATATCTTTTCTTTTCTTAAAATATTAGGTTTAACTCCAAAAAATGCAGCTAAAGAGTTTGATTTCCCAATACCACTGAATGAAGCCTCCAAAATAATGAAGGAAAGAAAAAAGGTACATTGCTATAAAAGAAAATTAGCATTTAAATGTTAGATCTTCTTCTGTGATTATAGTGTACGAAGGTTTCCAGGACAGTGGCAATAATTCCATCTCCTGAATAACTTAATATTCTGAAAGGAGAAAACAGAAGAAACTTAGCAAAAATAGAACTGAGCTTAGACATATTTATTTAAAGTAAATATGAAAGTAGTTATGGTATTTGAAAGTATAAATGCATTTTAATCAAAATATAACCTGCCAGGTATGCTTTTTTCAAAGCATAACTATGTTCCATAGAGTGTAGCTAACTGCTATATATAAAGCAGAATAGCAAGAAAATCACAGACTTCATAGGAAAGAATCATCTACATTGGTGTTATATTGCTCTTTCCAAAGCAAAGAATGTATGTGACTTTTTCAGCCAGAAAGATGACAAAGATGAACTTTATTGCTGAACCCTTGGTTGTCAAATATCATAGTAACTTGGGCATTTTGAACATATTTCAGAAAAGTGACTGTGCTAATCTATGACTGCCATTTTACTTTAAAGACTGTGTTAGTTGAGCATGACACATAAACTCATCCTTGTTTGGTGTATAGCCCATGTATGATTTAAAAGAGTGCCCCAAGCAACTAACCCTTGTACCAAATATATCTGAAGAATATATCTGAAGTAAGTATCAGTCTTCCACTCTGCTAAGACCTGCTTCCTTCAAGAACTGTTTCCTTTTGGGTAAGGAGGAAAGAACATGGGCAATACTTACCTCTAAACTTAATGTGCTGTGCACTGGGATAAGTGATTTGCATATGTGCCTTTCATCCCATTGTTCAGTATGTGAAGATGTTTCTAGATGACATTTAAATGCTTGTCAAATGTTAGCCTACTCAGTAGCAAAAAAAAAAAAAAAAAAAAAAAAAAAAAAGTCTAGATGTAGCTATTTGATTTTATAAGGTTTTCTTTCTACTCTAGCATATTCATAATCTAATCTCTGGCAACTTTGTCTAACTGTCTCCTAGGAGAACTAGTTAATTCTTACCTAGAATAAAATACATTATAAACTAATCTCTGCCCAGCATAAACAGGAATAGAAATTCAGTATTTTTAGTGCCTTTTGAAAATTGAATGTGCTGGACCCACTTAGCAAGACTTTGCAAACATTTTTTCTTCTTTTGAAAGGCAGCATCATCCAGGAGAGCTCATTTAAATACTGCAGGAAGGGAACTCGAGAAAACTGAAAAAGAAGAGGTCAGACAAGTTAGTGGCCACTGGGGTCATTGGCGGGATAGTTCCTGGGTGTCTTGCTTTACACTGATGATGTTGACTAACATGCAGCCAGCAGAGTCACCCTCCATCACCTCCCATCGAAAGGCATTGCACTTCTATGCCCAGCATTCCTTAACTGTGTTTATCTTTTTAAGGTCTTAGTGTGGAAGAAAGTACAAAAAGTCATTTCCAAAATGATTGCAGAAAATGAAAAATATAGACACAGACTGAAGTGCCAAAATTTATCTAGTGAAGTAAGTCTACATTTTCAATTTTATAAAAAAAAAAATTGGGTTACATAAGCATTGGATTGCATTAGATTTCCTAACTGCCAATTTAAAGTGTAGGAACAGTTAAAAGCACAAAGCCATGCTCAGGCAGGGGATGTAGATATAAGGGTGAATGTTTATGTGGGCATAAGGGTGTAGAAGGCAAACACTGGCTGGAATTTTCTAAGCACAGAACACACATGTTTGTTAAATGTATATTTGAATGTCAGTCTTTAAACACAAATTACAAAACATACATATTGGTGAAGAACATGTTAACTGCAATATAAAACTACATATTTTATCCAACTTCTTGTCATTTCCTTTCCATGGATGTTACATTCCAGTGTAACTCATTTAACAAAGTCTGCCCTTGGCACAATTTCATTCTTGAAAAACAACTCACAAATTGAATCTTATCCTAAAACTGCACCAGTGTTTAGTAACTGACATTGTGGTAAAATAATGATAAGTTGCAGGTTTTCAGACTGGCAATCTGTCTGAGCAGGTAGAGGTGCTTGCCAACAAGCTTGATGACCTGAGGTCAATCCCCAAGAACCACATGATGGAAGGTGAAAAGCAACCCAAGTGGTCCTCTGACCGCCATTTGCATGCTACCCTCCCCAACATGTGTGCAAGCACACACACACACAAAGTAAAAACACAAGATTTTGAAAGTTATAAAAAAAGGATGTTCTTGGCTTTCAAAATATTAACTGGAACAAAATTAGCATAACTAGTAATAAATTGATAAATCAAAATTTCTTTACATATAGAATATGTCCTGTCACAGTGAGTGCTTCTCTGACATCTCGGTACTTAATGACACATTTTGAGTCATTAAATTTACAGTACTTAATTTTGTGAGGGATGTTTTGTAAGTAATATGGTATCAGATAAAAGTCCATAGACTATTAGCAGTCATAGAATGCTGCACTAATAGCATATTGCTCACAGCAGCATACAGACCAATGTTCAGACTCACTGTACTCCAGTTCACAATTCTTGTCCAATCAGAATGAGTTGTTAGGAGGTAGTAGGAAGAAGAAAAAGGTGTTTGAACAGCGATGTGCAGAGAAGATGGGCACTGTGTTCTACCACTGTGGACTTGTACTTGGCAGAGTCTTTTGAACCTCACCCTTCTATGAATCCAAAATCACCTGGTAAAAATTATTTGCTAGCTTAACGTCCAAAATAACATAAGTAAAAAGTATCATTGACATTGGTTATTTTACCTTAAGTTTTGAGCTATATTATATAACTGTTTAATAAAGCTAATACCTCTTAATATGTTGACAAAATAAGTGTTACAGACCAACTTGAACTTCTTTTATGTTGTTTTTAGATTCGAGTTAATACAAAATGAATGTGAATCATCTTCCTGTCTTCTCTGGTGAGAATCCATTGAAATAATTGAACAGATCTTCCCCTCCCTTTGTACCCTGCTTTCTCTAGCCTTTGGCATACCTCCATTGTCACTACTAATCTACTTCCTTCCTTAACCTAGAGTGTGGCACACAGCACATCTCGTTAAATATTTTTTGACATTAAAATTTTCACTTAGTCCCCATGTCTATCATGCCCTTGAAACTATCCTCCACATGATCTCATCTCCATGATATATGTGCAAATGTATATAGACACACAAACACACACACACACACACACACACGTATACACACACACATATATATAGAAAAATGTGAGTGTGTGACTTTTCTTCTTTTATATGTCTCTGCTTCGTTCTCTTTCACTTGGGATGTGCTGCATACGTGAATCAACCTCTCCTCTTTTAGTATCATGCAGTCAGTGTTGTGATTCTCATCCTGTCTCTCTGACTGCATTTCCTGTTCATTTTAAGTTGTTCATCTTGCTTCCCTAGGAGTTGTTACTCGTCCTATTATCTCTTCACTTATTTACTTCCAAACACACTGTTTTTTTTTTATAGACTTAGCTACTATTTCTATCCTACCCATGACCTCTGATATTGTCAACTGTTCCATAGATGCTTTAATAGTCTATATTTTACACTGAGCAAGCATATCGTCTCCTCCCCTTTCTTTTTAGTTGTTCCTGGTTTCCCAACCACATGGTCCCAATGCACATGAAGGGGGAGATTTCACCCAGTTTTCTGAGATTTGAAAAGTAATAGAGGGAAGGCCAGTCTTAGGAAAGACAATTAGACTTTTGTAAATGAGAGACTGAAACAAGAGCAGTGTGAGAGAGTATGTTTTAGACCAGAACATGAGCTGGGATGGCATCAGCGAGAGGGTGGGTTTCCTCATTTCTCTTACAAGGCTATTACAAAATGGGAATATGCAAAATTCTCATGAATGTAAGGCCAGTACAATAATTTGTAGTTTTGTTTCTTTCCTAGCTACAACTTAATCACTTCATGAGATTTCAACAACCTTGGCTTTGTGGTCGTATGTTCTTCAAGTAACTAGTTAATCCACCTGCTTCCAGTTGAAAGACATGCCATCTGGGCATTGGTCTAGGTCTTGCATGCATATGTGATCTACAGTTTCCCTGCATACAGGCTCATCCAACTTCTTTGGACAGTGCTGAGTAAAGTTTCACATTGCTAAATCCCTCAATGAAGTTTCAAATGTTAGTTCATACAGCTTAAGTATATTACCAAATGGAACATGTTTATAAACTTGATTGCATGAAATTTTGCAGAGTGTGCGGACAAAGCTTTTTGGATTAGTTCAACCTTTTGCTTATGTTTGTGTGACCTATCAGCTCTTCAGAGAAACAGACTGTTTTGTCATATCTGTCAGTGTTTATTCATGTTACTGTGTGGATGACATACTGGATAGTGTCCCCACTGTTCTAGAAGCATGCAGCTCTAAAGACTTCTATGGAAATGAATGTTCTAAATGTTTATATTTATTGTTTAATAATTTCTGATAAAAGATATTAAATCTATTTGTTGAACAGAACATAAATACAAGGTGAAATTTCTTCTGAAATATCATTGAATACCAGGTCTGACATCATGACTTGTTCAGTGTTTTAGATTCTATCAGAGTGATGACCTCTTCAGTAAAACCTGAGACTACAAGTGTCCAACTTGGAGACATATCTACTGAGCTAACTTGGAGATATATCTACTGAGCTAACTTGGAGACATATCTACTGAGCTGTGGAAATAAAATTTTTACATGTCCTCTCTTTTGTCCATCTCATCTTCATCAGTCTCTCTTCTGGTCTTTGTAAGTAGGAACATTCACTCATCAATTCTATTCCTGGTTTTTCTTTTCCTTTGCTTAAATCAAAGAAGTTTTATTTTAGTCCAATAGTCTGTTCTTGTGGCTCTGCACACAAAGCTAAGTGGCTAAAGTCATCATTGAACATGGCCCCCTGCTGTAGTCAGGGCTACCATAAGTGCAGGGCATATGGGCCTGCTGTCTGTGTAATGGGCACACTGCCTTAAACCAAGAAGTTTCTTATAAATAAAAGTAATACACGTTAGTGATGAAAACAGTTATCAAGTCAACACTAGATAAAGCAGTGATATTTATTATCATTGTTAAGTATCATGGACATTTCTGTGTTTCTGGGAATCAAATATAATACACTGTCACTGAGCATACCTACCCCCAGCCCTGTGCTACCCTTCTGTGTGCCAGGTGGTACAGCAGGCTTGCCCAGCGCCACCACAAATAGATGAGCAAGCTTTGTGGTAGAAGGCCTTGGCATCCCTGATGTATACACTTAGTGACCAAAGTATTGTAATGTGACCTCTGTTTTATGTTTGCAACATCTGTTTTATGTTCCCCAAGAGATGTTTCATGCCTAAGTGGGTGGTGTGGGGGGAGGAAATAAGAGAACCAATGGTTTCAATGAAAAGTAATTAGCCCACCAGTTATTCTGGGCCACCCAAATGATTTAAGGCATAGGAACTAATTAAGGATCAGGATATATCCACATCTAATGTAATCTGAAAGTAGATTAGCATTTTAGGAAAGTCTGAAGTCGTATAAAACCATGGAAAAATAGTTTTGAGTTTGGAAGGTAGAACACTGGGGAAGGAGGGAAGCTGCATGGGAAGAGCCTTTTACTCCAGGAAGGGTTTGATGCTGGAGCACTAATGCAGTGGCAGAAAAGTTTCCAACTCAGCACAGATCTATTGGAGTTGTGGAAACATGCTTTTCACATTTCCTTTCAAAAGGACACAAGGCTGGTGGCTACACTGTGGAGCAACCATGTCATGCCTGTGAGGCCATTCTTCCCAACAAATTGTTCCTATCTACCAGTGATGGGTCATCTCAAAGACATTGAGACAGACACACTTTAGGGAGCTGGACCTCAAAGACTGCCTACTTCCTTTGCTGAAGAAACTCTTATAAGTGAACCAGAGAATGTCTAAGATTTCCCTTATCCACCCTTCTTCCCTTCCCTCTTTTCTCTATCAATACCAGTTGTCCATGGTTGGAGGTGCACAATTCAACCATATATACTAGTGCATGGTGGAGATATGTATGGTGTGTGGAGGCAGGTCTGCTTTGCCAAGTCTAGGCCCCAGTTGGGAAAATCTGAGTCTGTAGAAGGTGTGATGGTGTCATTGTCACATAGATTCCTCTGCACTCTCAAAGTTTGCATTAAATGATCACTTTTGACTTGTGCTAGAAGCAACCATGGTTCCATTGAAGAGGAGTAGATATACCAATCCATGCCCAGATCATGTAAACTAAAAAAAATTTGACTTGTATATAAGACAAAACTGAATCAATGTCTCAGTTTCTTTCTATTGTCATGAAGGATTACCATAGGCAGGCAGGCTGGCATCAGCTGAGGGTTTTACATCCTAATCGCAGGCAACAGGTAGAATGAGAGGAGGGTAGCTGAAACCTCAAAGCCCTCAACCAGCAACCCTCCTCCAATAAGAGCATACCTACTCCAACAAGGCCATATCTTCTAATCTTTTCCAAACAGATCATCAACTGGAGACTAATAGGCATGCAAATGTATGAGCCTATGGGGGCCATTCTCCTTCAAATCACACATTCCACTCCCTGGCACCCATAAGCGTGTAGCAGAATCATAATGTAAAATGCATTAAGTCCAACTTCAAGCATCTTCATAGTCTTTCAGTCCTAAGACTAAATGTCCAAAGTCTCTTCTGAGACTCAAGGCAATCTCTTTAACTGTAACACTCTATAAAATCAAAAAGCAGATCACAGACTTCCAACATATAATGGCACAGGATATACATTATCATCCCAGAAAGGAGGAAAGGGTGTATAGTGAGGAAATACTGGACAAAGCAAGACCGAAACCCAGCAGGGCAAACTCCAAATTCTGCATCCATGTCTTAACATCAAAGCACTCTTCATTACTCCCATTGTTTTCAGCCGTGTTGACTACAACACACTTGTCTCTTGGGCTGGTCTGCTTCCTGTTAGCAGCTCTCCTGGGCAAATGTCCCATGACTCTGAGATCTCCAACATCTTGAGGTTTCCAATGCAATCCAGGCTACAGCTTCACTCAGTAGCCTCCAGGCCTCCATGCAGTGACTCTCCCTGCCAAAAGCCTGGCCTCAGCAGCTTTCCTCAGCAGCAGAGGGAAATTCCATAACACCTTTACTGCTTCTTCATCCTTTACTCTAAAGCCAGACCACATGACCAAAGCCACCAAATTCTACTGCTAGTTTAACTACATTTGCAACAGCTTTCTGTTGTCAATGGCTCCTTTCACTGCTAATCCTTCCCTGACACCTCATTAACTGGGCACATGAGCCTGTGGGGGCTGTCCTCCTTCAAACCAGTATAACTAGAAAAGATACAGACAAGAAAACGTCTGGAAACAGGACAACTTTCAGTTGTCTTTCTACCTCATGAATTTGTGATGACACATAGCCCCAGCTGCACCCTCCAGGGAGGTAGTCTGGCGGGAAATGTGTCTTTAACTTCCATAGCACACTCAGGACTGTTAAGGACAATGTTTCCAAGCTCACAGAAACAATATTGGTTTATAAATTACAAGTGAAAGCAAACTATATCACACAGTGATAAAAGCAGGACTGTTCACAGATGTCCTGTTGTTCCCGGTGCCGAAGGCTACCTGGCAATGCCAAGCAATGTCCAAAAGCTGCCATTCTGTGCTTCCCCCAGACCAGCGGCAATCCGTGGCATTTGTTTGTTTGTTTATTCATTTATTTATTATAGTTTTGTTGATTTATTATGTGTAGGGTTTTTTGTCTGCATGTATGCCCTTTGCACCACATGTGTGTCTGCTGCCTGAGGAGAACAGAAGAGTCACAGATAGTTGTGAACCAATTTGTAGGTGCTGTGAATTGACCCCCAGTCCTCTGCAGTGCTCAGGGCTCTTTCCCAAGTTTTGAAAATGTTCTTTATTCCTTCCATGTTAAGCCCTTTCCAATTTGAA